TACCTGTTGTTTGGAACCTACACGAACATATTTGACAATAGGGCTAGTATACTATTGTTGCATCATATTCTCATGGCATTCAGCCAATACTCTGCGATGTACTGGCTGAATGCTATGAGAATGTACTCTGCGTCTCATTTCGGCGACGGAGAGGGGGGAGGCATTTCGCACTTCTGCTGCTTCACTAGTTCCGGTTAAAGTGTCACTGATAAAGCAGCTATACTCTCGCGAAGCTGGAGCAGCTCGTATAGTCACCATGACAAAACCTGTCAGCTGTTGAACTTTATGGAATAGCTAGGATGTCTAGATGCCTCGACACGATGTGAAGAGCCAAGAGTGCAAAATGCCCCTCGTAGCCGAACTGCGCCAACTATAGGATTTTTGATACTTTCGGTTGCGTATAGTTGAGGTTTGCGAGGGTCACAAACCGGGTTAGGGGGGAAGTACTGCACTTTTGGAAATAGTGTTCATGCTCACTAATCCGCACCTTCGAATGCCCCGTGCCGCTCGCTTCTTCAGCTGAAAGGAGAGTTGTTCATCACTGACTCAAAAGTTCAATCGTTTGTTCGCCATCTAATGGCCAGCGTTTTCGGGCACTCTGAATATCAATGCTCTCTTCGCGGTCGCTGCCCATGAAACCTTGGAGAAAGACGTTGCATCTCTCATGGAAGTTGACTGAAAGCAATATTTATTTATGAAGAATATCTTAAGCTAAAATATTGGAAGCGTTTTTGCAAAAGAATATTAGAACGGCTGGAAAATCTTTCGTGAAGACGAGTTTATGTTCGAATGTTTGTTAGAGAGAACAGCAAATAACCAGGCAGCATTGCGATTTGGTCCTCGACTCAATGACAGTTGCAACATTTTGACGTCGATCGTCTTCAGTTTGAATTGGTGATTGTTTTTAGGTAATGACCGTGGAAGATCTTGCCAGGGAAATGAATGAAATCATCGACGAAGTTTCCGCTATACTCCGGATTGGTCGGGGGCACTGCCGCATCCTCCTGCACAAATTCAACTGGAACAAAGAGAGTTTATTAGAAAGGTGCGTTTCTCAATTATCACTGGAATTCTGAGCTGTGGGCAAAAGTCAGACTCTAGACAGCTTCTTGTGCATTAATGCGACTCAATTCCCTTTATTGTACGGATAATAAGCCACGGGTTAACTTACTTAAAGATTTTGCGAAGTCCTTTTCATTCTTTAGGTCCCAGTGGGTTCGTGTATTACTTCAACTCGAAGGGAAACTGTAGAATTCTGTGAATCCTGATACTTGCCATGCGCACGGTGAATAGGTCTGTAGCTGCAGTAATTTGCCACCTTTTCCGGTCAGAAGAGCACGAAGACGGAGCTGGAGAGTTGTGATACCCGGATGTCGTCTCCTCTGCTCGCGTAGCCGCACGGCCAGGTGCATGCCTAGCCGCAGCCAAACGCGCTATTTCTCTGCGCCCTCCGGTGCCGGTACTTAGATACCCGGGTGGGCGTGGCCACAGGGGCAAGGCTTCGAAATGGACCGGTGTTTCCCAAATTTGTGCCGCAATAGATATTAGACGGGAGCACCGTTTACAAGGTAAACGTTCCTATTGTCTTCTGTTGATTTCATGATCATACGTAAGACCTGATAACCACTTTTTCGCCTCTGCCTAATGTATACCTTTG